GGGAATGCGGTTAGATGTTGAAAAGATTATAACAGTATTGAACAGATCAAGTTATTGAATCGATTTATTGATTATAATGATATAAATAACAATAAAAAATCATCAAACAAGCAAATAAAGAATGCATGAGAAGAACACTCAAGGGTATTGGTATTTCTATGCACATGGAAAATGTTCTACCACAGATATAGTATTTGGGACATGGAGAATGTGGTTAGCTGTTGAAAATATTATATGTTAAATTGTATTTTAACATGTTATCAAAATTTTAGTGTTTAATAAACATGTATGTTGATTTTATCATCGATGATTTTGAAAATTTATCAATCTGTGATGATCACTAAATCAATCTATGATGGTCAGTATTACATAATAAATATTAAGAAATAAGAAATCAGGATAATAATAATCACAAAGGAAATACGTTGATAGATAGTGTACTTAAAATTTATTAATTTCTAAAGTGCTACTAAAGAGATAATTTAGTGATAGTATTGAATGATTTTATTTGTATATTAATTGAAATTTTAATTTCAAGGAAAAATTGTTTTATAAACTTATCCACTCACTAAGCCTTTCAACTCAACCTTTTATATAAAAATTTCACCTTTATTATATATTCCAATTTTTGTAGGAGAAAAGTAAGACCATTGGAAAGTTAAAATGAATTTTTTTCCTCAATCAGAAGTACTTTTATAAAGTATTGTTACCAAATACTTTACTGAACCTAGTGGTGAAAGTAGATTGTCAGTTGCTCTTAGGAGGATAGAAAATAAAGGACAACTATCTTTAGGTGGTTGAGTGGTTTTATAGAGACTCTTAAGTGTATTATTCAATAAATTATGAGTTCAAAGTCCCTCATCGAATTCTAATAGATTTAGTCACTAAAGTTCTTATCTGGTTAATAGTTTTAAGATCTCAGGAGATTAACGAAGATATACGTAAACTAACCTAAACACTCAATCATTAAAAAAAAAAAAAAAAAAATCGAAGTACATCACGCTCTTTCAAAAATTAAGAATGGGGTGTCTTCGACCATTTACCTCAAATTTGTGACTTGATTTGGGCCAAGACTATTTGGGTTTATCGCTCAGATTACTAGCTCAATATTTCCTTCTAAACCCAATATAAAGTGTATATTTGGCAGCTCAAATAATAGATCTTGTAAAAATATCTTTATTACATAATTGTCAGATAACTATTAATTGTGAGGAGTGATACATGATATATTTATTAGACTAGGTGATAGTCGGGAGTTGGAGTGTAGAAGACTCCCTTGAGGGTGACCCCTAATCATTTTGTACAAGCCAAATTCGAGAAGGAATAATAATTTTCTCTTCAATCACTCGCTATCCTCTCAATCTTATCTTAGTTAACCTTGAGCTAAAAGGTCATTTTTCAAAACCTAAGCAATGAATGAGCCAGATAAGAACCTTGAAAGACAACGTATGACTTCCAATTCCAAGTCTTCTGGTAAGATTTGCAAGAAAACAAACCCACCACCATTTAGAACAATCCCTTTCAGCTCTTAGAATTTGTTGAAAATAATCCCTTTGGTCTCCTTGAATCTTCTTCCATGGTTCATAAGTGTTGAGTAGCCACCATTCTTGTTTAACAAACCTTCAGGTAGACCACCGGTTGGTACTGGATTAACATAACTAGGGATCACAACCTCGCCATCAATCATTGATGTAGGGAACATATCAATTACCAACCCTGCAAGTGGAGTTGCATTAGAACTTGAAATCACATGCTTGACAATAGTTTCTCCAACACAAGCTTTATGACAATCTATGAACTCATTTACATAGTTCTTTAAGGATTTATGAAGCTATTGTGAAGGAGAGAAGTGTACAGGAGGTGGAAGATTGATTAACCTTATTCGAGGATTAAATTCTGGAAGTGATTTTGTGGATTCAGCTGTGGCAGCTTTTCTATTAATAGCAGATTGCATAAGAAGAACAGTTACTGCTAATCATGTAAAGATTAAAGATGATTAAGATTATGCTTCATTCATGGCATATTTCCTAATACATCATCTATAAAGCGTCCAAATGCAGCAAATGAAGATCCTTCTTCCATGACTGCTAATCTGCTCTTTTCACTCATCTCTTTCACCTTCTTTCGCACTTCATTATCTCTCTCCATCACACATTTTATGGCTCTTGCTATTTCATCTCCCGATACAACTTCCCTATCAGTGATCCTATAATCTACTCTCAACTCCAAGGCCAATCCCAAATCTTTCACCATTTGGAAAGCATTAAGCTGCTGCTCAGCATACATAGGCCATGTCACAATTGGAATACCAAACCACAAGCTCTCCAAGATTGAATTCCACCCACAATGTGACACAAATCCTCCCACTGATTTATGAGCCAACACCTCCTTTTGTGGTGCCCGTCCACACACCAAACCCTTTTCCTTTGTTCTTTCCAAGAACCCATTTGGTAAGATTTCCTGGAGATTATCACTCTTGTAATCACTAGGACCTTCAAATTTGCCATTTGGTGGTGGTTTCCGTAAAGACCACAAGAACCTTACCCCACTTTGCTCCAATCCAAATCCAATTTCTTTGACTTGTTCTTCACCAAAGCTCCCTCCACTTCCAAAGCACAAGAAAACAACTGATGAATCAGGCTGATCATCAAGCCATTTCATTATCTCATCAGCTTTTTCTGTCTCATCACTCTGACGTCCCTTTACATCAATAACTGGTCCGACTGTGTAAATTGGTGGCATATGATCAAAATCATTCAACAAAGACTTAACCGCATGAGATTCCAGCTTCTGGAATGTGTTCACAATAATCCCTTTGGTCTCCTTGAATTTTCTTCCAAGGTTCATTAATGTAGCGTAGCCACCATACTTGTTCAACAGAACCTCCGGCAGACCACCGCTTGGAACTGGATTAACATAACTAGGGATCATCAACTCACCATCAAACTCTTCAAATCCTCTTCCAACTTCGTCATGTCGAGTTGGAAGGTACAGCATGAGACCAAGAAAAGCTGCAGTAGAAGGGAAGAACAAATAAGAAGGAACCCCAAGTTCATTTCCCACATCGATCATTGATGTATAACTCATATCAAGTACCAACCCAGCAAGTGTAGCTGTATTAGAACTGGAAATCACATGCTTGACAATCGCTTCTTTAACACAAGTTTTATGAGAATCTATGAACTCAACCATATACTTTTCTATTGATTTATGAGCATCTATTGAAGGAGAAAAGTCTACAGGAGGAGGAAGATTGATGAACCTTATTGGAGTATTAGATTCTGCAAGTGATTTATATAACGTATGTGTAACAACATTTCTAGTAAAAATAGAATCCATGAGAAGAACAGTCACTGAAAAACGTCCATCATCTCGCTCTAACAATCGCTTTGCAAACTCAACTTCAGGAACCCAGTGGCCTGCTCCTGCTAGAGGGATCAACACAAGCTCTGCTTTCTTCATCGTTGGCAATGGCAGAGGAAAATGTAATGAAAATTTGTGATCTCTTTTCTTCTGGGGGAGTGGATAAGGGATGTGGACCACTGCTTTGATAAAGCGGTGATCTTGTTGCACATGTATACAAAATCTCCACCACAAAATATAATCATACGATATTTTTATACAATATTTTTATATACCATTCTAATTTTAAATTAAAATCACTTTTTGTTGATTGTAAAGCCTTTTGACGAGTTTGAAGGGATAATAGAAAACCAAAGCCTTAAAGTGCCAAAAAAACTCACTCATCCATCCAAGGCCTCCTTTGTTCCTCTTCCGCCACCACCGCCCACCACTTTTCCGCCTCCCCTTTCCCTTTTACCGCCACTTCCCAAACTCAAAACCCTTACAATTCGTTCCCGCCTGAGCAAATTATGCCAGGAAGGCCAACCTCATTTAGCCCGTCAACTGTTCGACACAATTCCCCGCCAAACTAAAACTGCTAAAATGCAAATGGTAAAGTGTATATAGCTCAAAGTGTAAAGTTTTATGAGTCTAATTTTCCTTTTATTAATAATTTTCTATTTCACAATTCTCTTCAACTATATAGTTTTAAGTTTGAATATCTCAATACCTCTTCTACTTGGTTTTTACCTCATTGTTTAACAGATTTTGATTTGAAGTTTATTAAGTCTAATCATTGTCTGATTTTTCTTCTTCTTTAAGTCCTAGGATAACAGCTACTGTTTGTCGTGACCACACTAAATCACAGCGTCAGTATTCTCCTTGTCTCATACAATCATCTTCTAAAAATATTTTCTCGTCCTTAAAGTCCAAGTTTGATTCTTTATCTGCTAAATCTGTCTCCTCACAAGATTCATTTTCTACTATCAACTTGGAAGTTTACTTAACTTGTAATACTATTCACACTTAATCTGCCTTTGATAACAATGATCTGATCCCCTTTAAAATTCCTTCTAGTCTCAACCATCATCTACTGCTTACTAGGTCCAAAATTGTAGCTTTACAAAATTAGTCTTTACATCTTAAAAATCTGACAAGTCTCAATCACATATGCTAGCTGCTATGGCTGTACCTAAAAGGTACCTTATTTTATGGCATTCAGTTCAATCCAGCAAGTACTATGCAGTGGGAGTGCTATGCAAATACAGCTGGGCAAGTTATGTACAAGATAGAAGATCTAGAGGTAGATGTTGTGTTTTTCTTGGTCCTAACTTAGTGCAATGGAGTCCTAACTTGGTTTAAGAGTTTGTTTCAAGAATTAAACTGTTCCAGCAATTTGGTTTGACAACGTCAGCGCAAAGTCCCTAGTTTAGTTAATCTTTTATTTTATTATTGAAAATACTAGTAAAATCGAACGTAATGACAAGGAAAAGTAGATAATGAATAAAAAATCATAATATCTTATCTTCTTTATTTTTAATTTAATCAAGTTCACCCTGAATTATACAAAATACATTAGTTACTATACCAAACATAAACTCTGTCAATAATATGATTAGAAAATTCATATAAAAAGTGAATTGATATTGAGACTTAAATCAGAAATTATATATATAACAAGTGAAGTTTAGAAAATTCATCGAATTGAAGACAATAAATTGATTTTTATTTATTTATTTTTTTGCTTCCCTTCAAACAGACTAATCTTCATTGGATTTGATGGAGCCAACTGAAAAACCATCAAAAGAAATTTAATTAAGCACAAATACGTTTATGTTGGAGCCTCTTAAAACAAATTCAATTTGTAAAATAATAAATTCAATTACCTGATTAGAAATGATGAGCATGATTCTAAGTTTCAGGATTATTTTCTTCATTCTATTGGATGAGAATTGGAATAAAGCTCTTCATTTTTTATGTACCGAGGTATATTTGTAAAATTATCCCAACAATAGAGATCTGTAGACGTCTCTTCATGACTTTCATCTTCACTACCTATTTTGGGTGCCTGCAAAGCCAGATATTGGAAGCATCAAATGCGAAGGTAGCAATATTAAGCATTTTGTGGCATTACAGAAAACATGTATGAAAAGAAGTTCCTTATTGTGAAGAATAATTAACAAATCCTTTTGACTTAAAATCTTTAATTAAAAAATGGAAGTACCTTTGCTGCCGCATGCACACTTTTATTATCTTCATCCCATGAAAATCTTGTACTTATCTTTGGACATCGTTTGACTGCCAACCGAAAAAGTGGTGGTGTTGGAAATATGAAGTGATAACCCACATGGCAAAAGTTGGTGAGTCTTGGTAAATCTTCCAGGTACATAGTCTTAAGTTGAGGCAATTGGATTTCTTTCTCATCAGTCACATCATTGTCTCCAAATATTTGTTCTAATTCAGAGTTATCAATTACTCCTAGGTATTTCAATTGTTGAAAACCCCGAGCTATGGAGATTGGAAACAGATGTTTCAATTTATGGCACTTTTCCACTCTAATATCTGATAGAGTTTGGAGAAGATTTGCTCCACCTTCTTCACCATCTTTAACATCAATGATTTGCTCCAATTCCTCACATTCTCTGATGCACAGCTCTTTCAATTGCAACATATGATTTCGAGCAACAATTGGTGAGAAGATATGTTTGAGCTTGTTGAAGTGTGTTATTGTTAAAGAGGTCAAATTCGTCAAATTTGAGAATGATAATTCATGTTCTAGTTCTGTCAATTGAAATACCTCTCTTACTCTGCAATTTTCAATGCTTAATTCTTCTACTCTTTTGAAGAAGCGACATCTCAACCCAGAGAGAATTCCATTACACAATTGACTACTGCAATTACTCATATTTACAACTTGCAGCTCCTCAGACTGCACAATAATGTTATGAAAAGTTTATTAGATAAATTTAAGCTATTAGACTACCGTACTGCCAATTACTAAAAAAAAGTAAGAGAATCTTTTATATATTTTATTTAATTCACTAAAAAATCCAGAAATTTATTAAACTTGGAAGAATTTTATTAGACAATGAATCATACAGCTCATGTGCAAACTTTAGCCTAAGCTAGACTTGATAACGTGGTTATGTCAAGGCATATATATTAGATAATGAATAAACAATTAGATTAATGTTTACACGTACAAACTAATTATCTAAGCTATTCTCTACAAACTACTACGGTAATCTTGTGAGTTTGACACATCATCTCTTCTAAATTGTTAAGTTTATCTCTAATCTAAAATCATCCAATCACATTTAAACACATCAGTTTATATGAGAAGCTTGTATATATGTATTATTATTAAAACAATTATGGTATCTTGTTTTATTGGTTATGAGTGATGATATATTCCCAATTTCCCATAAGGGGAGTCGTGGTAATTGGTAAACTTAATTTTTAACAATTTTTTAATAATGTCCATGGAATATCTAACTATTATTATTGAATATTACTAACTCTTCAACATAAAATTTCTATCCAATTGGTTATCATAGAATATCATTCATAAATTATCTATCAAATTAGTAAAGGCCTAATAGATAAAGATTTAACATACCTCTTCACCAATGAAAGTTGTAGTTAATTTGGAACAGTCTTCTACTATGAACTCTACCAAAGCTGGACAACATGCATCATATTTTTCTGGAAAGAAGCTTACTAGCTTTGCAAGTCCTTCTAGATATAAATACTTCAATTTTGGAAGCACAATGCTCTTATGATCTCCTCCACCTACATATTCTTCTCTTTCATGATCCAAATAAAATACTTGTTCCAAATTCTCACAATCCCATACTGAAAGTGATTCCAATTGACCCAACCTCTGAGCAAGAGTAAATGAGAAGATATGTTTCAGCTTTTTGCATTCACCTATTGTTAAAGTGGTTAGATTCTCCAACCTTAGAACATGAGCATGACCTATACATAAACCTTCTAGTTCTTCCGGATGATTTAATTTTGGAAGTGCTTCATGTTGTTGTCTTTCAATGATTAGGTCTTCCAACTGAAATACAACTTTTACTCCACGTCTTAATCCAGAGAGAACTTTTTCAGTAGACTGATTATAATTGCCCACGCCTAGAACACACAATTTCTGGGAAAAACAAATCACTTTAATCTTATCAAAATTTAGTTGATCCCCCATATTATAACAATTAAGTAATATTTTTTTTTATAGTAAAATAAATTAATAATAATAATAATAACTAAGTTGTAAGTAATAAAAATTTGTACAATCACTGGATTGTCATGTGACAACTTGTAATAGTACAACTATGTCTTGTGTCAATTTGTTTTTTATATTATTAAATACTAGTAAAATAGAACGTAATGACAAAGCAAAGTAGATAATGAATAAATAATCATGATATCTTAGTTTATACATCTTTAATTTAATAATAATAATAAAACCTTTACTTCAAAAATGATTATTGTTAAACTTCAAAATTTAACAATAAATTTAACTCTAATTTTTAATTTTATATAAGGGCAAAGTAATTGTATAAATTAAAATTAGTTCTTTTAAAAAATAAATTAAAATTACTTAAAAAGTATTAAAAAAAATAAAGATTTAAAAGCAATAAAATCATTAGGGCCCTTGAGACTTAACAATCTCTTAGGGGCCGAGTAAAATTAATGCCAATTGTAATGAAAAGTTATATCATAATTGTTAGAAATTCTAAAGTATAGCTAAATGATCATTCTAAAGGTCTAATAGATAAAGATTTAACTATAATTTTTCATTGTTGACATTTCACTTAAAGTTCTATCTATTGGAAAAAAAAAAATGAATGGTGATAAAATCTTTTATTTAACCAATAAAGCTTTTTTCTTTCTATATTTATTGTAAAGAAACTAAAATAAATATTAAAATTTATGCATGTTGATTTTTTATTTTTTTAATATTGGTCAAATTCAAGCATAGTCGTCCATTTTAAGCAAAAAAAAAAAAAAAAAAAAAAAAAAAAGGGAAAAGAATTAAAAACATACCTCCAAAGCTGGCAGGGTTGAATGATTATTTTTTGGAAAGAATCTGATAAGCTTTGCAAGTTTGTAAAGCTTTAGCTTTTTTAAATTAGGCAACTTGATGTCATTTCCTTCCTTTGCAACTTCATTTTCTTCTTTTCCATGAAATACTTGCTTCAACTCTGCTGCATCTTTTATTTCAAGATTTTTAAGTTGTATAAGACCTACTGCAACAAACACTGGAAAAACATATTCCAATCTCTTGCATCTTTCAATTCGGAGATCTTCTAATTTTGACAACATTTTCTCTCCCCTGCCATTATCACCCTCTTCTATCTTGATCAGGAACTCCAAACTCTCACAATATTGTACACGGAGTGATTTCAACTGCCCCAAACTTAGAGCAATTGATAAAGTGAAAAGATAAGCCAAGCTTTTGCACCCTCTCACATAAACATCCGTAAGACTTTGGAAGTTTACAACGTGCATGGGCATGGCCCCCTTCCATATACACTGCAATTCTGGTAACACTTCCAACTCTAACTTTGCTAAACTTGGATGCAACTTAGGATTTTCTTCCCCCACTTGCGATGCATCTATCATGCATTTCAAGTCTTTACAATCTCTAACCTCAAGAGTATTCAACTTCTTCAATCCCTTTTGGTCAATGCTTGGGAGGATATTTTGACAGCATGTTACTCTTTTCAAACTAAGATATTCTACACTGTGATAGAGTGCTTTAAATAATGCAGTCAATAAGGTTGCATCAATATCAGCAATTATTAAAGCTTTTGATGATTCTGAAGATCCATAAGTTTCGTTCACAAAAATTTTATACCTTGAAAGTTCAGAGAAAGCAAAGTCTTGTGGAAGGCATTTTGAATGTATTTTCAAATACAGAACAGCCAAGCGAGATAGACAATTTACCTCTAAAAGCCTAGCATCGCCTGTTTCTATACTTTTCTCTTCAACCTCCCATTCTTCAAAGATGTCCTCCATGTATAATTCTTCTAGTTGAGAAAAGCTTCGTATCAAATTGGAAGGAATTCTTTTTAGCTCAGAACACTCACTTAAATCCAACATTCTTAGTTCTTTAAGTTCACTCAATTCTAGTGGTAATTCGTCAAAACGAGAACCTCTAAAGCTAAGAATCTCAAGTTTGTTCAGCTTGGCAAGGAAAGAAATGTCTCTCAAAATACAACCAGACAACTCTAGAGTCTTGAGATTTGCCAAGAATTGAAGTGATTTCAATGAAAGGTCTACATATCTTAAACTTAAAACTTTTAGTGCTTTCATCTCTTGGAAACATTCATCTGAAACTTTCAACAGATTGGAAAACCATTGTTTTTCACCACCCAATAGCAATATTTCAAGCTTAGGACAAACCAGTCTAACAGAGAGCTCTTCTAGTTTGTTTTCCAACAAAGAGATTGCTGTATATTGTTTCCAGCCTTTCTCCCTTGTCAACTGCGTCAAATCCATGTGAATCTTGCTCATGAATATATTCTCCCCCTTTGATGTTATCCATAGAGAAACATCATGAACTATACCTTGCATTCTCACAAATTCTTTTTCATAAGCATCTAATAGCAAACCCAAAGCCTTCAGGGTTTCAACCATTGAACGTAGGGCCATTCTTGCTTCTTCAATGGATGAAACATCTTTATATAAATCTAACCCCACTCCCATTCTAACCAAATCCTCCAAAGGAATTTCAAAATCCTTAGGAAACAGTGAACACATCAAAAAACAGAATTTAATATCATTTGTCTTCAAATAATCATAACTCAACTTAAGACTGGCATAGACACCTCTCTGTTCACTATAAACATGACCTATATCCTCCAGTTTTGACTTTTTTAGTTTTTCACACACAAATTCCCATGTTTCAGTATCCTTCTTTCCTCTCAAGTGATTTCCAATGGTTACAAGCGCTAAAGGCAAACCATCACATTCTCTAGCAATTTCAGTAGCCAAAGTATTCAAGCTATCAAAGTCATCATCTATACGTGCTTGCCTTTTGAGTAAAGCCACTCCTTCGTCTTCCTCTAAAACATTTAGAGGAATTAATGATTGATACTCCCTGTCACTGTATACGTTTTTGTTGCGGGTTGTCAGAAGCACTTTGCAACCTTTGCTCAATGGAACACCTATTTTATCCTCGAAATCGAATTCTTCCCAAACATCATCCAGGATTATAAGGTTATTATTAGAATTTGACAATCTTGAAAACAATCTCTTAGCTCTTCCCTCTTCAGTTTCCTCCATAAGTTCCAAATTTAAGAGGTCAGCCAGCTGACCTTGAATATTTCTAAAGTTTGGAGTTTGGGATACAGTAACCATCACAACCTCCTTAAAGATGCTCTCTTCAGTGACCTTTTTACTCACTACTTTTGCTAAAGTTGTTTTACCCACACCGCCCATCCCAGACAATATAACCACATGGGTGCCATCATTTTTAAATGCCTCCATAATCTTATCAAAAGCATCCCTCATAGACCGGGAAAATTCAAAATCTTTAGGTGCTAAAGGTTCACCTGATAGAAGAGGACGACAGCCCACGCCTTCAAATTGGCCTTTATTTATAATTTCCTTCAACTGAATGCTTGTCTTTGTTGCTTTCCTACCCAATCGATGTCGAGACCTCCAATTAGGACACCACCCATTAAAACAAGTCTTCAACTGATTGACTTCTATTTCATTTTTCAACATCTCAACCTCTTCCAAGATTTTGCTTGTATCATCTAGCCAGTCTAGTACACTTTTAAAAATTTTTTCATCATTGTTTTTGGCTGTTTCAACACGTTTCTCGATGTCTGCTTTTGCCAATTGCATTTGCTTTTCTACTTCCGAAAGATCTTCAAAATTTTTTTTGAAACAAAATATGGAAGGCTCCACTAGGTATCCTCCAACCTTTGATACAATAGCAATTATGATCTCCATCAATATATCTGTTATCAAATATAAACTATATTAGTATAAAATAAGTAAACAAAAATTCATCAACAAGTGTAAAATGCAATTATAAAGATGAATTTTAAAATCAATCTTGTCGGAAATAGTTTAGATAACATTTGTTTTAGTTTTTTAACAATTTATTATTTATTTTAAAAAACTATGGTTGATATATTCCCAGGAAATGTCTTTAATAAGCTATTTTTTAATTTAAAAAATAAAATACATCATACTATGCTACTACTAATCTTACACTTTTTCTTTGTAACATCGAACCGTGTAACAAAAATTGTAATTAGTGAATAGTTAAACTTCTAATATTTCATGATTATTTGTTTGTTGCTACTACTGTTTATTTGTTCGCTATAGAAAAGAAAATTAGCTTTAGCAAATACACATTTTGGGAAAAAATGATTTTTAGCCTAGATAAGTGTTTTTAATTCCTAATGACTTTGTATCATAAAAATGTTGTGAGACGTCCTAGACAATATAAAAATGTGTTAAATCTTAGAGACAAAGTGTGTGGCCACAATTAGTAAGGCCACAAAAAGAGTGTGTAGCTACAAAGAGATAGAGGGGAGTAAATTTGTAATGCTAGAGAGACCTATAATATTCTTCTTCTTCATAGTGAAATTGGTGGTGGTTAAGTAAACATAATTCTCATATAGAGAGTAAAGCGCTATAAATCCTTGTGAGTATGGTTTAATTAATTTTGCCCTTTCAGAATAAATTAATGCTATGTGTATGGGCCAAAAATGTATTGGGCCTAACAAGGTCCAATAACAAAATAAACATATTATGGCCTAGTGCCTTAACCGAATTCTAGTGGGGCCTACGCTTAAATCTACCTTGTGGATTGACCACTTCATGAGTTAGGCCTTCTTACAAGTTAAGTTAAGTTGGGCTCCAGCTCGTTAACCCACTTTCGTCCCAAAATAGAAACCAAAATCCATCACATTCCTAATTCATTCAAGATCCAATATCTTACATGAATTGGTACTCTTGAACTGATAACGGCAAGGAATAAGAGTTCCTTCCTAATTCGAACTCCTATACCAAGTAGGATTTAGAGTCCTACTAACCTCCTAAGTTCACTATATAAATAGAGGTCAACCCTCTCATAAGGCATTTAGAAATCACCAATAGCTTTAGCTCCTAAATTCTTGCTCCAAATTTTTTTTGTTTTCCTTGCTGTAAAGCTTAGCTCTAACTAACTTTACTATCTCCAACCACCACAAAGCTATGCTCCAGCCATTTTTTGTTAGTCTAGCACTAACCAAATTACAATAATCCACTCTCATCCCTCACTAAATACCTTTAATCGTGCTAACTTGAGCGTGAGAGTGCCTACGGTAGACACCACACCGATGTCACCTAAACCTTCACGTTTGTGCTTTCTCTTTGTGCAGGTCCATTTGATTGTCAGTGGCTCACTTCCTATAAGACCAGTCCTTTTGAAATCAACCGTAAATTTTACTGTCTACAGTTTGACACCCATCATGGGGCCCTGACAATCAATTGACTCCAAACGACTTGCTTTGTTCGCTCTCACTCCCTCTACTCAGCCATCATGATTGGAAGTACTAAAACCCCTACACTTGATGTCACAGCTCAGATCACGACTCTTATCGCGCTTGTGCAAGAAAGCAATGATAAGTACCAAACCTTGGACGCCTAGAACGCCACCATCCGTGCAGAAAACCAAGCCCTCCAATATAAGGTAAACCAATTCTACTCCCTCGAGTGGGCTTTAGGTCAACAACACGCCTCTTTATCTCGCACTTTCATCCATTCAAAACAACTGTTAACAACCCCAGATCATGAAACCCTTGCAAGTTTATCCCATTTTTATTCGGCTCCAACCACTACTACCATGACCCTTCTAGCTAAGCCGACCCAAATCGACGTGACTCAACCCATCACCCTCTCGACCACCGACTCGCTCTTCCAAACAACCCCACTCCAACAATACCAACTAAAAACGCCCTTCACCTTCCCACAAACATATCCCTTATACTCAGTAGTCGGTCTATCTTACCAATCAATCTCGCTCAGCTCAACCATACACATCAACCCGAATGTGTTCCCCCACTTGCAAAACACAAGCCTATATTCTCCCATGGCAACTCCCTTGAGCAAGCCTTAACCAAACGATTATTCAAGATGGAACCCATGATCCAACTCATACCCGACATGCCCACACCTCTCAAGAAAAGCCAACCTCAATGCTTTGCTAACACGCTGTTCCTTGACACCATAGCTCTCATAAAGATGTTGCGTAAATTCACCTTTCCCAACATGAAACTCTATGATAGGACCACCAACCTGGATGGCCACATAGCCTCTTACAAGCAGAGGATGTTCGTCGTTGCTATTCCTTGTGATCTCCATGAACCGTGCATGTGTAAGAGCTTCAGCTCTAGCCTCATGGGACCAGCACTCCAATGGTACACCAACCTCCCTAACAACTTCATCGCCTCCTTTGCTCAGCTCATGGATACATTCGCTGAGCGGTTTCCTAGTAGTAAGAGACTTGAGAGACTTTTTGGCAACCTTTACAGAGTTCATCAACATCGGAATGAATCACTCTGGGAATATGTGAGTTGTTGCTTTAACAAAGAGAAGATCTCCATCCCCTATTGTAATCAAGAGACATTGGTCGACACTTCAAAAAGGGACTCCTCCTTAATAGTGAGCTCTACAAAGAGCTCACCAAGTTCAATTGCACCACCATGGAAGACGTGTTTGCTCGAGCATGGGTCGAGATTAGATAGGAAGAGAACGATGTTCATCGGCCCAGATGTGCTTGATATGACAATCGATACGATGATTGATGCACTAGATAGCCATAACCTCGACACCAACATTGGGGGACAAGTTGGTGCTGGTTTACACTCGTCCATCCCTTAGCTTAACTGATTCTACTTTGTTATCCGATTATATTTACAAGGCTCTGATCTTAAGTCTAGCTGTTAATCAGCCTATAAAGTTGTAACTTAATTTGAGAGTTTATCAATATAATGTCTCAATTAACTTTACATTACAATAAAGAGTTTATTCAGCATTCAAATAATTGAGCTATAAGATCAAGTGCAAAAGTCATCAGTAGTACAACTCAACACTAACATCGGGGGACAAGCTGACGCTGGCACCTACCCGTCCATCCCTTATCTTAGTCTGCTTTTCAAAGAAGTCTAACTCATCTCGACACATCACCAAGCCCACCACTCGTAGAATTGACGCCAATTCAAGTGCTCACAGGTTCACTTTCAGGCTTAGATTCATCATTTGAGTCTACACTAGAGTCTATGTCACTCGATTCGGAACTTAGGTGTCTGACCGCCTTCACTTGCCCAGCATGTTGGGCCATACTCACACCCACACTAGTCACAAGTGTCTCCTCTTCAGGGATCACCACATAAGTCCTTGACTTCCAATACTCGTTGGCCCCTGACATGCTTGCTCAGCTCAATTCACAATAAATATCCCCATACAAAGTGGCACTCGACTTCTTCCAGGTACTTAAATGTTCACCTAACCTCTATTTGACTCGGCTCCTCTCGACTCGGCAAAGCACAAACGACTGGCTACTCACAAGTTCCCACACGACACTACTATACCTCATGATCACTCGCACCTTCACTCACATGGCTCGACTCCTCACTTAATATCCAACCTATACTACTCCTCACATGGCTCGACTTATAAACCCAAAAGGTGTAAGGATTCTTCTCACGATCAGCTTTTTCACAGGCTACCAAAATCGACTCAAATCTGATAAGCTATTTGACTTGACCTAGCAAAATTGGCTCGGAGTTTTCTTACCCCACTCGATCCAACTAGGTTGACTCACCACCTTGACTCTAGTAAAACTTGGGGATGGTTCCCCTTCTCTCGACAATCATAACATTATACCCTGATTATGCTATTACAAACTACCAAGGCAGCGTTCATTTGGCTCAACTTGGCTGCTTCTTCCCCTTCACTAGTTAGCTTGAATAGATGAACCTTAGGAACCTTTAACAAATCTCACTCGACTTGGCTCTGACGCCCCAACCTTGGTTCCAAACTACTGATTCAGTTAAACCAAAACTTCTCACTTGGATCTACACAACACCATTATTCTTAAAAGATTACTCAACCTTGAATCTCCGTTCGACCTCGGTTCTCACTAGCCTTGAGTCTCCATTCGACCTTGGTTCTCCTTTCGGCCTCAATTCTCATTCAGCCTAGGTTCTCCATTCGACCTCGGTTCCTTATCCAGCCTTGAGTCTCTATTCGACCTCGGTTCCTTATTCAGCCTTGAGTCCCCATTCGACCTCAGTTCTCACTCGACCTTGAGTCCCCACTTAGCATTCATTCACTATTCAACAAAACAAGTGAAGTTGAGTGGCTCTATGAGCATTCCCTCTATAACAAAATGTTCTATATGCACCATCCGGTTTGGTAAGCATCATTTGTTTTGCTAGAACAAATGAACAATGATGTCCCAAAGGAACCAATAGTTAGCTTCGTTCAACCCTTTACACTCGACATCATAAGCCAAGCTGAGCTAAATGGGCTCGCAAGTGTTTGACAGAAAACACAGTGAAAACTTAAACGACCATGAAACAAGCCAAAACAATGGATTTTGGCCTTGAAAACCACCTCCAACTAGGTTTTCTAGTTGACCACGATATCAAGCTCAAAACAAGCTTTCTGTTGATATCTTATGGGTCTCGTAACTCCTCCCGAATCAAAAGTTATAGCTATTTTAAGTTGACATGCTCATTTAGGATATGAGAGATGTTGAAACACCCATCTCCTTGTCCATTTGGCTCCACTCAGCCATCCGAGTGGAAACAATGATGGATAGTATACAATCAGGCTACTTGGCTCGGCCCTATCGAGTGAATCTTAGTGAACTAACTTGAACATCCTAAATAATATCGTCACTCATTCACCCTCAGGAGATTCAAGATTCAAGACACCTACCACTCACCTCCACTCAGCACTGCCAACCAAGTAGGAATAAGTCACAAATAAAATACATTAAGTGCTAGTCATCACCACCTCTATTCAGCTCAACTTATCCATTTATTAAGTCCTCATGTGGTCCTCCTCACCTTCATTCGACCATGTTTCCATTCGGCTTCATAAGGCCTTATCTCCATTCAACCTTATGTGATCACTCAGCCTTAGCTCCATTCAGCCTTATGTTTTCTTTTGGCATTGTCTCCATTCAGCCTCACGTGCTCACTTGGCCATGAGTCCTTTCTACCACATTTCCCACTCGGCCAATACTGTTCCCATGGCAGTATGAGCCGAGCCGGATGGGCTTACAATTGTGTCATTTCTCATAGATTACCTTGTATTCTCCTCATACTCCACTTGGCTCAACCTACGTTGTTTGGTTCGGGATTAGTTTAAACCTCAAACACTTTGAGATAATCAAGGATCCAAGTGATTTCACCCAGTTACTACTTTTCGCTCAGCCATATGAGCCAAGTCAAGCAGGCTATGCCCTTGTGGCAATAACAAGTGCTTTGAGTTACATCCCCCCTGAGAGGACATCAACTCGTTCGCATTATCACTACGATTAATTGAATCTACTCTCTAAGCTAAGCACCCCTTAACTTAGAGAGTGGGGCACAAACTGTATGGACCAAAAATCATATTGTGCCTGACGAGGTCCAATAACAAAATAAACATATTATGGTCAAGTGCCTTAAACCAATTCCAGTTGGGCTTACACTTAAATCCACCTTGTGGATGACCACTTCATGAGTTGGGCCTTCTTACAAGTTAAGCTAAATCAAGCTTCAGCCCGTTAGCCCACTTTCATCCCAAAATAGAAATCAGAATCCTATCACCTTCCTAATTCATTCAAGATCTAGTATATTACATGAATTAGTACTCTTGAACCGATAAAGGCATGGAATAAGAGTTCCTTCCTATACCAAGTAGCACTCAGAGTCCTTCTAACCTCCTAAGTTCATTGTATAAATAGAGGTGAGCCTCTCATAAGGTATTCAGAAATTACACATAACTTTAGCTCCTAAATTCTTGCTCCCAAGAATCTTCGTTTTTCCTATCGTAAAGCATAGTTCCGATTAACTTTACCACCTTTAGCCATCTCAAAGCTGTGCTTTGGCCACTTTGTGTTAGTCTAGCCTAAGCCACATTACAATAAACTCTTTCCCGCTTTGAGCCCTCACTAAATACCTTCAACTTTGCTGACTTGAGTGTCGGAGTGCCTACGGCAGACCCCACATGAGCGTCACCCAAGCCTTCATGTTTGTGCTTTCTCTTTGTGTAGGTCCATTCGATTGTCAGTGGCTTGTTTCTCGTAAGATCGGTCCCTTCTGAATCAACCATAGATTTTACCGTCTACACTAGGTAATTAGCATAAAAAATCCCATCATATTCCAACGAGTGAAATAAGACAACCTTATACTATTTGTTATTCGTATTTTGGATTAATAATAGATAAGATAAACAAATAATCAGCCATGTTACTATTTTCCATACTATATAAAATTTAAAAAAGAAAAAAAAAACCATATAATAGAAAATTTAATTAAATACCTTGCTCAAAAGCCAATGATATTTTTGTGGAATGTCAAGCTTCAAGTAACTACCAACAAAGCGCAGGCATCTAGTTTTGACTAGGCCTTTATCTGAAAGAGGTAAGACAAGAAAATGAAAAAGATGTGAAGTAATTATATATAAATTAATGTTGAAAGAGGAAAAAACTATGAAGCGTTGTTGATCATTTCTTTAAATAATTTAATTATAAAAAAAAAAAAAAAGGAAACAATTTTTTTATTATTTTTTTCCTGTTTGATAACAAACAAAGTGAGTTCAAACTAGAGTATGCATTTCATTGTAAGTATTAGCAAATATTCTTGAAGCCCCTTGGTTAATATTTGCTCAATTACCACCCCAAGAAATGAAATCATATTTGACCTTGATAATATTAAAATTTTTAATACAATTACTTTTAGTTACTATCATATCAAACCCATTAGTTTCTAAATAACATAAGATATAAATATACACACGGTTAAATCTAGATAAATTAATACCATTGAGACCATAAAAATTTATTAATTAATCGATATTTTATTTAATCGTATAAATTAATAAATTATTAATTTATTGAGGCATTTTTTATTTTCTTTTTCCAAAATATTGAACTTAATGCATGTACATATTATATATAATTAATGGTATAGGGAATAGCTCATAGTTAATACACTTAAAGCAATAATCACATTGCATAATTTTCTCTTGCAATACGAGAAAACTACACGAGAGGTTCTTAATGCTCTAAGAAAAGTTAGAGATGAAATCCAAGAAGACATCAATTTCAAAAGGAAACAAGTAATATTTGACTCATATTTTTCAAAAGGCCTCCTAATTTAGTCATGCATATATATAATTTTAATGTATAAAGAGATTATTAATTTTTATATCAAGTGGTACCAATGTGCTTTTTTTTTTTTTTTTTTCGCCTTAAGGGTGCGTTTGGTTCGGGGTGAAATAAGATAAATCCTGTAATCTTTGTTTAATTTTCAAGATTCCCTCGTTTGGTTGTCAAGTAATATAATATTACGGTAATATTTTATTACAAATAGTAGTTACTATTGGTAATATTGGGGGTAATCAGATTACCTTCCCAAGGGGTGTTAATGTTAGATTACCGGGGTAATCATAATTTTTACCCTATTTTGCCCTTAATATTTTATCATTCTGGACACATTTGCCCTCATATGTCTACCAAATAACAATTAGCCCAGACCCCCTACATTTGAGAACTTAGCTAAAACACCCCCGCCACAAAAAAGTTTAAAAGTTAACAAAATACCCCCAATCATCCAAGACCACCACCGGCCGCTAGCCACCACCGCTGGCCACTGGCGAAAGTCGTCATATCGGCATAAGACCGGTAGGATCTTGCCGGTCGTGTGCCGATAAGGACATTTCTGACCATGGATTTGTGATCCATGGCCGGAAATGACCAGATCTGGCTGTTTCATGACCAAAGATGTGGCAGTGAAATGCCATAGATCTGGCTGTGAAAAGGCCAGATCTTTGGCCTTGAAATGGTCATCGTTTCACGGCCAAAGATCTAGCCTTTTCACAGCAAGATCTATGGCCGTTTCACGGCCACATCTTTGGCCGTGAAATGGCCATATTAACGGCCAGATCTAGCCGTGAAACGACCATATTCACGGCCAGATCTGGCTGGTCGTGCACCATTACAGCGGCTTCCCGTGGTGGTGGTGGCTGCCGGCGGTGGTTTGGGGTGAGTGGGGGTGACTTTGCTACAAATTAAAGTTGTATATGGTTGGGGTGTTTTGGTAAAATTTCAAATATAAGGGGGTTAAAAGAAATAATTTAAAAAATAATAGAATAAAATAATAATAAAAATATTATTATATTATTATTTTAAAATGAGGGCAATTTAGTAATCTATATAACATACTCACTCATTTATCCTCCCAATCAAACATATTGTTATAAGATACCCATCAATTTATTCCAACCGACCAAACACATTTCTCTAAAGATTCCCTAATAATCTATCTTTCCAGTAATACAACATTCCTCAATAATATAACATTCCCTGAACCAAACGCTACCTAAATGTACTATCTTATAAATTTAGTGAATTATCAATTTCTATGTCTATTAACAAATTAATCTTGTATATTAGGGGTCACATTTAACAACTTTTTCGCTTAAGCTCACTCATATCGTCATATTCCAACGAGTGAAATATGGCTACCTTATACTATTTGTTATTCTTTTTTTTGGATTAATAATATATTTAGATTAGATAAACAAATAATCAGCATGTTACTATTTTCCATGCTATATAAAATTTAAAAAATAACCAAAAATTTAAATACCTTGTTCAAAAACCAATGATATTTTCGTGAAATGTCAAGCTCCGAGTAACTACCAACAAAGCGCAAGCATCTAGTTTTGACTCAGCCTTTATCTAAAAGAGGTAAGACAAGAAAATAAATAAGATGTGGAGTAATTAAATATAAATTAATGTTAAAAGAGGAAAAACTATAAAGCATTGTTGATCATTCCTTTAAATAATTTAATTATTAAAAAGAGGAAGAATTTTTTTTTAATATTTTTTTCTGTTTGATAACAAACAAAGTCGGTTCAGACTAGAGCATGAATTTTATTGAAGTATTAGTGAATGTTCTTGAAGCCCCTTGGTTAATATTTGCTCAATCACCACCCCAAGAAATAAAATCATATCTAACCTTACTAATATTAAATTTTTTTAATACAATTACTTTTAGTTACTATCATATGTGTGTGTGTGTGTGTAATCTTCTATAAATTAATATCATTGGAACCATGAAAATTTATTAATTAATTGATATATCATTTAATCGTTTAAATTAATAAATTATTAATGTATTGAGACATTCTTTATTTTCTTTTTCCAAAACATTGAACTTAATGCATGTACATATTGTGTATATTAATGTGGTATAGGGAATAGCTCATAATTAATGCACTTAAAGCAACAATCACATTGCATAGTTTTCTCTTGTAAGAGGAGAACACTAAATTAGAGCTTCTTAATACATTAAGAAAAGTTAGAGATGAGATCCAAGAAGACATCAATTTCAAGAGGAAGCAAGTAACATTGGATTCATATTTTATAAAGGCCTCCTAATTGAGTCATGCATATATATAATTTTGATGTATAAGGAGATTATTAATTTACATATCAAGTGGTACCTATGTGTTTTATATTTTTTTAAATGTATTATCTTATAAATTTAGCAAATTATTAATTTACCACATTGGTTCCAAGTCAGGACCGGCAAAAAATATTATTTAATTAAAGTTATTAATTTATCGAGGTTTAACTGTATTTTTTAACCTACACAAGAGGTCCACCTTTTAGTTGAGACACTTTCTTTTAATTTTAAGATTAACATATTCAACTATATGATATATTTTGGTTTCATGATGATGCTCTAAAGCAAAAGTTTTAAATTAGGTCTTCTCTGCTAAGGTACATCCATAGAGATTTCCTTATAACATTTTCGAAAGGTTTTCATTTTCATTCATAGTGTAAATATTCAACATAGAAACATAATAATTAAAAATGTCAAAAGCACAAAAGAAAAAAAGACATTTCGCATACCTTTCTTATATTAAGAGATATCTTGACACGGTAGAAAACTACACACTGTGAGAGACTAGTTTAACCTGCATTCTGCAAGTGAAACAATAACAACAAATAGCCAACAATAAATGATTAATTTTATATATTTTACGTAATCATACTTGATCAAACTGGAAGATGTTCCCCCTGCTTGTTCAACTTCTCCAACATATTCTATTCTACTATCATATCCTTAAAAATAAAAAAAAACATGTTTGGTTTAATATTGTTTAAAATTTAATCATATTCTATTCAACTCAAAACATTTAACAATTATTTCTCAATGAAAGTTTATAAATTAACAAAAACACCCCCAACCACCCAAGCAACAGTTGCCTGCTGGCAACCACCATCGGCCGCCAGCCACTGCCATTGCCACCCCGGCCATCAACATTGGAATGATGCATGATCTATTAGATCTGGCCGATTGTGCGTCAATTTGTCCGTTTCCGGCTAGATCCACTATGGATCTGGTTGGAAACGGCCAGATATACGACCAAAGATCTAGTCGCTGACCACACATTCTAAATAAACTTTAGCCAAGCCAATAAAGTTCAAAACAAATTAATTTTTGTAGTCTTTAACTTTTTAATGAAAAAATCTGTAGTGGTATAATAATGAAGTTCAAAGATGATAAGTATCATACCCAACTGTGATGATGCTATTTGAGCTTGAGAATCTGCGGTCACAATTCTCAAAGTTCAACTTTATAAACTGTGATATATATCTAAAGCCAGTATAAAAGTTTGCAATTGATACCTTCTGGGAAAGAGAATCTGAAGTAGAATTCCACACTCAAAATGAAGCGTGTCTCAGATCTTGTTCGTTTTAGTTGGAAAAAAGCAAATTGAATGAAGTTATTCAAAGTAGAAGACCAATCATTTTGATTAAAATCAAAAAGAGCAGGAAATTACCTCTTCTATAAGCCAGTATAATTCTCCATCACTAAGGAGACTTCAGTTGGCTTAACTAGAGCTCATAAATATTAATTAGTACATAAGAACAAAGATTAATGGTACATCAAAGCCAACTAAAAGCAGAAAATAATAAAGATCAGTAGTAAATAATTATATGGAAACTTATCATATATATGTCTTCGATCAAATCCTTGCAAGTCAATAATAATAAAGAAGAAATTAATTAAACCAACTAAAACTACAAGAGATATTGAAGTTGAAACATCATACTGGTGTTCTCTTGGAAATGAAACTCTGTCTCTGTAAATCTTTGCACATAAAATCGATTTGAGGAAGATGTGAGAGAAAATGTAATTTGGAAATTAAAGTATTCTAACAAATGCGCGTGAAAACTGCTTTCATCATTGGAAATTAAAGTATTCAAAGATGACGAAATTATGGTGGAGACATAGTGGGACAGCAATGAATTTCTTTCTGACAGAAGAAAAAGAAGAAGACAAACAACTTTATAATTTCAATGACCCACCATGTTTGCCATTACCTTTCTGAATTAAAGGGACGACAAAATTCAGGAGCTGCCAAGAAACTATTGCACTTTATATTTTCCTCTCTCAATAATTTAAAGTGTTCAGTGTGCAAAAGCGTCTAAGGTCCAGAGATACTGTATTTTCTTTTTGGGGGAACGACTTATACATATCCAATATTTGTCAAAATAACAAGTTGATACCCAAAAGATTTTGAAATGACAAATGGATACCTTTCGTCATGCTCTGTTAGTGATTTTGGTTAGATAATAGTGAAAAGACTAAAATACCCTTAAAAGTTTAATTTTTAGTTTTTTATAAATTTAAAAATTTCTAAAAAACCCCATAGGTTTGCTAATTTGATTAAACACCCCAATATATAAAACTTTTATAAAATAACAAAAACACCCCCGCCACCCCCGCAGTGCCAGATTCTGGCCACCACCGCCGGAATCTGGCCGGAAAATTGCGTTACGACACAGACCCATCAGATCTGTGTCGTAACGCATAGATCTTTCATTTTCCAGCAAGATCCGTGGCTGATCTGGCCGGAAAAGACCAGATCTACGGCCAGATCTGGCCGTCAAGACCGGAAACTTGCCGGAAAATTGTGTTACGACACAGACCCATCGGATATGTGTCGTAACACGTCGATCTGGCGTTTTCCGGCCAGATCCGTGGATGATCTGGCCGGAAAAGGCCAGATCTGGCCGTCGAGGCCGAAAAAGGCCAGACATAGATCTGACCTTTTCTGGCCAGATCCGAGGCGGATCTGGCCGGAAAAGGCCAGATCGGTGTGTTACGACACAGATCCGATGGGTCTGTGTCGTAACACAATTTTCTGGCCAGATTCCGGCGGTGGTGGCCGGAATCTGGCACTGCAAGGGTGGCGGGGGTATTTTTGTTATTTTATAAAATTTTTATATATTGGGGTATTTAGTCAAATTAGCAAACCTAGGGGGGTTTTTTAGAAAATTTTAAATTTATAAAAAACTAAAAATTAAACTTTCAAAGGTATTTTAGTCTTTTCACTATTATCTAACCAAAATCACTAACAGAACATGACGAAAGGTATCTATTTTTCATTTTAAAACTTTTTGGGTATCAACTTGTCGTTTCGACAAATATTGGGTATGTATTTGTTCTCCCAATGTTTTATAGGATTTCTTTTTCAAAACTAAATTTGACCCACGTGAATGTGCAGAGTGACAGCTCATTGGGAACAAGCCACTCGCATGACATGCTTACCACTACTTCACCGCCTTTTCATTCTTTTCCATACTCTCTACTCGCTCTACGCGTTATTACTATTTTTAGAATTGGATTTGGAAACTTTTGTCTTGGAAGGAAGTTAAACGATATTCCAAGGGTATCTTTGTAATTGTAGGACATGACGTGGTAACCATGGTATTGCATATATGGGACCATAGGTTATATAAATCATAAAGCATACAAAGGTCATACATATTCACGTGTTTTTGCTGCTTTTTTATTTTATTTTTATTTGAACTCTCTCATTGTATTAATAGTATTATAGCAAGATAGAAATGTCTTAATTCACAAGTTTGATGTGACAAATTAATAATTAGTGTTATTCCTTTAAATGCTTTCACATGTTTCAAGCTTATGAGGTTATAATAATTTATAACGATATTGATAAATATTTTACATATTAAATACGCTCGAAGGAAAAAGATTGATTAATTAAATATTTAATGCTTTGTTATTTTTTTTATAATATATATTTTTTTTAAATCCAACTTTTTTACAAGGTTAAAATAAAAATTGAATTTATTGAATTACTTATAGATCATAATTTTATAATAAATCTTAAATATTTTTGTTTCATATGAAAATCCTTCGAAAATGTATCAATAGATTAACTGTCAATTTTTAAATGTATAAATATTACTTTTAAAATCCAAAAAAGATAGTCTGGGTCTTTGATGGGGACAAGGGAGGGATAGAGAACCATGCAGGTCTTTATTCGGTTGAGAAATGAGAATAAAAGTAACAATATATAGCATTTAATTATCAAATAAAATAAAAATAAAGCATGCACATGGGACTGATGTCACAGATCACATGTACTCACATGCTCGCTTAGGAAAAAGGTAATTCAAACTTCGAAGAGAGAGAGAAAGAATAGTTGATGTACATGTGTAATTTCCTGGAAACTTCTCGGAAGCTTGGTTGTATTTACTCTACTCTTTCTTTAAACTAACAATTTATAATAAAAGATATAAAATTTATAGATAATATATAATAATGAAGTTGAAAAATGATAAGTAATCATACAAATATATGAAATTAAATATAAATTACATTAATCTTTTTATTATTTTTTTAAATTACATTAATCTTTTTATTATATAAATTACATTAATCTTTTTATTAAATTAAAGGAAAAACTTTTTTTATTATTTTTGTCCTGTTTGATAACAAACAAAGTCAATTATGCATTTTATGGTAAGTATTAGTGAATATTTTTTAAACCCCTTGGTTGATATTTGCCCAATCACCACCCCAAGAAATAAAATCATATCTAACCTTACTATATTAAAATTTTAAATACAATGATTGGATATATTATTTAATCTTATAAATTAATAAATTATTGATTTATCAAGACATTTTTTATTTTTTTTTTCAAAACATTGAACTCAATTATTTTGGGTGGATTGAAGATACTTTCTCAAAATTCATCCTACATCAAACATGTTACAGTAAATTTAATCATGACTAGTTGATCTTTAATCTTCTATTTATTTTTATTTTTATTTTTTTCTTTCAACCGATGTTACTCGAGTACCCGCCCTCAATTTCAAGCAGGTTTCATCCCGAGTAACATCGATTCCCATCCCAGGTTTCAATTCCAATTCCGGTTCTATCGACTACCTATGATCACCCTTATTGTTGTCAAACCATAATTCAAAATGAAAAGTAAAATAATTCTTATTATCTAATAAAAACATCAAGTAATACTATACCAATAACTCTTTTTCACAAATTTTCTCTCACAACCCTGCCGCAGTAGTTTGTAATTAATTAGTGGGATTAATGCGGGACTCATATAGGATTTATTGTGAATTGACTAATTGTGAGCTATCATGTCAGAGTTATGAGAAAAAGTTTATGAAAAATGATTGTTAGTGTAGTATTATTCTAATACATCTCATATTGTTTTTATCTTTACTTTTTTAATTTCTAATTAAAGTTCTTAATTATTATTTGGTACAAGTTTTAATTTTAATTCAATATTCTAAACATATTAAATATAAAACAATACGATTTTATGTACTAAACAAAGGACAATATTAGTTTATATTTAGTGCAGTATTGTCTTATTAAATGCATTGAAACACTATATCCGGGATAAATCTTTTCAATGATGTGAGTTTATTTGAATGATAAAAGCAGATGATAAGGCTGATCTGCTTTTATTCAAAGATGGACGAAATCATGGTGGAGACATAGTGGGACAGCAATGAATTTCTTTTTGACAGAAGAAGACAAATAACTTTATAATTTCAAACAGAAAAAGCAATGAATGCAAGTGTTCAATGTGCAAAAGGGTAAGTGCTTGGATATCGTGGGGGCGTTTGTTTCAATATTTTTATCTATATTCTCAATCTTATTTTTTAAATATACATATTATTTTAAAAATATTAATATATTTTTTTAATTATTTTTAAACCTTTTAAATTTATTAATTTTATTAAATATCCTTAAAAAAAATTTAAAAATTAGCAAAAACACTCTTACCTATCCATATTTATAAGATTCTAACAATCACTATCGATGATAATCAGAATCTGTCCCTACGACTTACACCACGACCAAAATTAGCTAGTTATTCATCGATCTGATGGCCAAAAAAATGGTCGTCATTGATGGTCAACAATGACTAAATCTTGATTATCGTTAATCGAAAACGATAGCCATATCTTTGGCTGCCACCTTTACGGTCGTTGACGACCACATTTGGTCGTAATCTAGCCTTTTTCGGCCAGATCTGTGATGAATCTGATCAGAAAAGGCCATATCGACGCGTTACGACATAGATCTGACCGGTCTGTGTTGTAACGTAATTTTACGGCCAGATTCTGGTGGTGGTGGCCAGAATCTGGCATTGCGAGTGGTGAAGGTGTTTTTGTTATTTTATATGTTAGGGTGTTTAATTAAATTAGTAACCTAAGGGCTTTTTTTTTATAAATTTATAAATTTTATCTTGTAATACTCCCTTATTCAATTATCCAATGTTATTTTCAAAATCATATCCAAAATAATGAAACAGGCACACAAATTTTCTTTTTATTATCAAATTTTTTGAATGTTGATAGCGTGTTTAATGGATAAAAAGTTTGTTTATTATATATTATTAAAATTCATAATAATCTATTAGAATTATTTCCTTTTTTCAATAACTAACTGCAGTAGATTATTTACTATATAAACATTTAACATTATTAATTCTCATAAACAATTTTAAAATTTTAATTTCTCAACACTTAGTCTTCTTAGTCAAGAACAAAAATAGTCAGAATATGTTGTCTTTTAAAAATGCTATACTACTTAGTGTAACGTTAAAATAACACATGGTCTAATATATTTTAATTAAACTGATAAATACTATACTATTAAATTTNATCAAGACATTTTTTATTTTTTTTTTCAAAACATTGAACTCAATTATTTTGGGTGGATTGAAGATACTTTCTCAAAATTCATCCTACATCAAACATGTTACAGTAAATTTAATCATGACTAGTTGATCTTTAATCTTCTATTTATTTTTATTTTTATTTTTTTCTTTTAACCGATGTTACTCGGATACCC